CTAACATAATTATAAATAATGTATTTTTGTACTAAAGGTAAGAAAATGTTGCTTTGACTGTATTAGCCTTTAAATGTTGCAAGTTCCTATTGCTTTGAATTAATAGAATCGTATTTAGAAAGTCAGCGTTCACTGTATCTATCTGCCTCTTGGGTGTCTTTTCTCTTAGGCAACATAGACCAAGCCCAATACTGTGATCGTATAAAGGGGATTATTGAACTCTTGGGCAGTAAATTGTCTTTAGATGAGCTCACTAAAATTTGGAAGATACAGGTAAGTTGATCAGAATTAATCTTGCCTTTTTCCGATATTTCTGGCAGAAGGAGAGGGAGAAGGGTGGTGAACGAGCAGGGAGATGGAGCTTCTATCTTGCTTTAGCCACAGCAGCTCTACTCAGATCTGCTGACCCGCTTGGGGCTTCTGTCAGGGTTGTGTATGTGAGAAAGGCTTGCGCTGCTCAGATGTGGAACGACTGAGCGTGTCTAGTCTTCTCGTTTCCAGGTTAACACAATGAAAAGCTGTCCCGCAGGCTCCCCAGCAGCGCTAGGACAGTGTGTCTCTTGTTTGCCAGTCTCATGTTCTTTTCACCGTTTGCTTATCAGTTTTCATGGATGAGTTTTTCCTGTTGGGTTGTTACGTGAGGATAAGAGTCCTACTTACTTGAGTTCCCAGACCGCATCTCACCAGGACTCCCCGTGGCCGCCACAGAATCGGCCACGCCCCTGCCTTTTCTTTTCCTTCGCTTTGTTACTAGGCCGTTGGACTCGTTTTCCCCCCACTTTCCTGGCACCCTCTGTAAGTCTCCTTTACTAACTTGTTTATTCTCTTCTTCTTTGTAGATACTAGTTTCTTTCACGCCTTAGCCCTTTCCTCAGTCTGTAACCCCCCGGGGGGCAGTGCGTCCCCTCCTGGGGCTTGGAGTGTGTTTGGATGCCTCTGACGCTCAGAACTGCGTTCCCCATTCAGACCTCTTGGCATTCCAGTGCCGTGTACCTAGACGCATAACTATTGCGCCTTCCTGCATGCCATCTCGTAGGCATCTCAAATTCAGTGTGTCAGAACCTAGTCATTTTCCAGGCTATTTCAGTAATGGTATTAGCCTTCATCTAGCTGCTAAGCCACAAGGAGGCCTGGAGCTCACCTTGACTATACCCTTTTAGTCACTGTATCACTCAGAACCTAGTCAGGAAATAGACGCTGTACTAGGTATTTCAGAGGGAATTGGGTACAGGGGCTTGTTTACAAAGGCCTTGCTGGGGTGGAAGAGCAAAAGAGAGAAGTAGGAATGCTGGAGGAATAGAATGGGGAAAGGGGCATCTGAAGTCCAAGGAAAGGAAGCGGCTTTGGGAGGTGCTTTCATGGCACATGGCTGGGGTGCCAAAGAGGTGGCCCGGCCACCAGGGCTTCTCCCTTGCTGCCGCCGATGCCAACACCCGCATCCACTCCCTGAGCACACTTCTTTCTTCCTCTTCCCTTCTCATCTCCCAGCAGTGCCTCCCATGGGCAGAAGATCACGGGAGCATAGCCAGGAGAGGAAATGCAATTCGCAGGCTCCCAGCCTAGCAGCAGAAAGCAGACTATAGAAAGTTAGGTGTAGGACTGAAAGAAAACAGTCCTGGGGCCTGTAAATCTTGCTTCCCATGTCAACTGTAGTTGAATACTCCATATAATGTTGTTTTGTGAGTGAGTTTTGAATCCACAGAAGGTTGAAGATTAGAGGCCATGAAATAGATATTGTATATCCCTGCTACATATATTCGGTGAATATATGTATATAGTAGATACTGAGCAGATTCTTGTAGAATTGAATCTAGAAAAGTCTCTGCCTTTCAATTCCTTCACATGGTATGCAGTGAGGCATGATGGAGTCATGTTTGAGGTTATAGAGTGAGTTTTGACCATAAAGTCGACCACAGGGCCTACATCACTGAAGCAGAGATTCACTGTCCATGGGATAAATTAATATTAATTGAAATTATAAAGTAGGAGCGAAATAAAAAATAAGGTAGATGGTACTCTCAGCTGCGGCCCTCAAGCTCATTTATAAAGTGCTGGAAGCAAATATGTTTGTTCTGTACTCAGTTCAAAGCTTTATTAGCCAGTTGAAAATATTTCGCTTTCCTCTTGAAATGCATATATCAGATTAAGAACTTTACTCTCATCTTTTTAAAGATTTAATGCTGCTAGAAATTTATACAAGGCCAACTGATGGCCATTGCTTCCTGTAGTTTCGCCAGTGTTAATCATGCAAGTGAATGCTGATCAGGCTAGAATCAGTTTATCTTATTGCTGTTTTACTTTGGCTCTGTCAATTGCTGGGGAGAAGTGTGAGGGTCTTTCCACGTTGCAGGACGTAACTTTCCCCCACTGTCTCCTTTTCCAGTCAGGACAATCATCTACTGTGATCGAGAATATCCATACTATTATTGCTGCAGCAGCTGTCAAATTTAATTCAGATCAGCTTAATCATCTGTTTGTTCTCATCCAGAAGGTAAGTGTCCAGAGAACTGCAGTTGCTTTTAAGTTTTCCTAAAAGAAGCTCATTTTGAGGTCTCCCCCCTTTAAGTTAAGTAACTCTTCTTACTTTGTTAAACCATTTTAGCTCAAGTGTAAAGTTTCTGCATATTTTGCCCATTTGATAAAATTGGATTGTCTTGTCTTTTCTGTTCCCCAGAGCTGGGAGACTGAAAGCGATCGGGTAAGACAGAAGCTGTTGAGTCTGATTGGACGAATAGGCCGGGAAGCTCGCTTTGAGACTACTTCTGGAAAGGCAGGAGAATCAAATTAATCTTTCCAGCTACAATGTGGTCTGACTGGTGTATGGGCTGGCTCATCTTGTGTGGCATTATTGCAGGTGTTAGATGTACTCTGGGAACTGGCGCATCTTCCAACCCTGCCCAGTAGCCTTATTCAGCAAGCCTTGGAGGAGCACCTGACAATCCTTAGTGATGCGTATGCTGTGAAAGAAGCAATCAAGAGGAGCTACATCATTAAGTGCATCGAAGATATTAAAAGGGTCGGTTTTATCTTTGGTCTAGTTTTGTTGTCAGAGCCATAGTATTGTAATTAGAGCCAACTAATTTTCTTACCCTATTATGTAAATTAAATTAAATGTCCTACCTGGAAACTCTTGTCTTAGAGTCCAAGATTGGGAAATTATAGGTACTGCTTTTACCAAGTCACTTATATTTCTCTTAAAATTAATTTCAGCCTGGAGAATGGTCAGGTTTGGAAAAAAACAAGAAGGATGGATTCAAGGTAAGAATTTGCAGATGGAACCGCCTAAAAGGTATACTAATTTAATAATTTCTTTTAATAAGTGATATCATAATTTTAAGATAATCTCTTTTTGTGTCTCTTTGAGTAATGTTCAGATAGAAACTGCTGTTTAAATATTCACGAATCCAAGGTCACATTCACAGAGTACTTTCATTATATTGTTTGCATAAAATTATAAGACCTTTAACTTAGTTTTTTCTTTTGTAAAATAAATGCAAAGTCTGCACAGCTTTAATAAGTACAGTGGATTCTGCATAAAGTATCATTCCTATTCTTCTGCCATGAGGGAGAAATGGAGGAAGCCTCATAGAGTAAGAAGAGAGAAGGGAAGAAAGAGGGTCATGCGGTGCTGGCATGCTGTCGTTTTTCAGGTGCCTGGTTCAGAGGTGTACATAAAGAAATTCCTTAGTGAGTCCTGCTGCTGGGGTCTGATGCCAGCAGGTGGTCTTGGGTAGCGACTGCTGTGGGAGCCCTCCCCTGCTCAGGGCTCTGGCCTCTAGGCTGCGGGGGACTTAGGGGCTACCCTTTGAAAGCATGGTTAGCAGAGTAAGCAGTGAGGACTGTAGCTCTCCTGTCGCTCCAGTGCTTCAGCATCCAGCCCGGGCTTGAGGGGACTGATCACAGGGCCACTCCCTGGAGCCACATCCCCTGTTGCCGCAGCCCTGACCAGAGCACTGCGCTCGTCCAGCCGAGGCCCTCAGGTTGCCCAGGCCAAACGGAGAGCCTTGTAGCGGGAGGGATCTCATCTTACTGTAACATAAGAAAAGGTTTTGGTGAATAGCCAGGGGCTTAGTAATTTCATTGGTTAAACATTTTTCTTGGCTTTCATTAGGAAGTATTTCTTTAAAGGATCTTGAATACTGCTAATTTTCATTGGTGTGTTCAGGGACTCTTAGCTCTTGTTACGAGGCTGTGGTGATTCAGTGGGCTTTTATTAAGTTCTGTGTGGTCATCAGGTTTAGTTGAGGACACGTAAGAACTTTGTGTTTTATATTTCTGACACTGAAATTTGGTCAGGTGAATTTTCTACATAAAATCTGGCTTTAGAGATTTTCAAAAAGTCACAGACTGGAGCTGATGATGCTCACGTTATGAGAAATCTTTCCTTTAATTCAGCAGCATTGCTGTCATCCTCAGATCCAGTTCACATTTTTCCAGTTTTCTCAGCCCAGCATTTTGGATAATTTATTGCAGCCTCTGCCTTTCACTTGGACCTCATCCAGGGTTCTGTACGGAGTTTAGATCCTTCAGTAGTGATAGCAAGAGGAAAAGGGTATCTATCGAAAAATGGTCTTTTCTTCTCAGGAATAGATACATTTCTTTATAAATGTGAGGGGTCCACGCCAAAGAGACTGTTCCCTCCCTCCAGGGAAATGGCTTTTGAAAGCAGAAACCCCTTCCCACTGTCTGTTCCTTCCTTGCTGCAGCTCAGGCTCAGCGTTACTTAGCTCTCCTGGTCAGGTCAGCAGCATCCCTGTGTCTTCACTGCCTCTCTGCAGTCACTTCATTCATGCCTGTTGTTCTATGACAGAACTCAAAGAGCAGCAGGGTAATTTTTGGAGTCATTTCATGATACTTGAAAGGAGTACTCTTCCTTTTTTTTTTTTTTAATCTCCCACTGCTCCCAGTACAGAAATTCTCATGGACCATTATTTCGTTCCAAATAACAGTACCTTGCATTTATATAGCACTTCCTAGTGAACTAAGTGCTCTTGCAGATACTCTCTGAAAGTACACACGGCTGAGGGGGGCAGTGGGAAGATCAGAGCCCCCTGGATATGACTCCAGGCAGGGGGGTGAGTTATATCCTGCCACTAAAGGTGTTTTTCTATGCTATGCCCTTTCCTGCCAGGCAGCAAGGTGGGCTGACTGGGGATTATGTCTCCCTGCCAGGCTACACAGAAACTAAGCAAAGGGTAAGACAAGATCACCCACTCTTACTCCCCTCCCACCCTCAGCTACCTCTCTATCCCCCAACTGATTCCCCTTCCCTCTGCTTTTCATACTCTTAAAATTCCCAAATTCCACTGTTGTGTTCAGAAAGTCTGCCCTTTATTTCTTAACTTTATTTCTATAGATTCTGCCAGGATACCCTTGGCTCCCTTGGTCCTCTTTCCTTTGCTTCCTTTATACCTTCCACTGTTTACCCCCAACCCTCTCCCTCTTATTTCACTTCTTTTTTCCTTCAATTAAAAATTTTAAATGTACTCATCCAAAAAAAAAAAAAATGTACTAAACCAAAAAAGTCATTTTTACTCAAGTAGTGGTATTGGTGTATTCCCTAAGTCATTCTCTCAAGGCCTCCCCTGGCCCAGCGCCTGGCAGCTTCTAAGTAGATGCCCGTCCCTTCCTTTCATTCCTCCCCTTCACCCTGTTGAGGACACTAAAATCATTACTTACCCAGAGTGCAGTGGCCTCTACTTACTAAAACGTGTAATTGAAAGCAAAAGTAGCAAGATGTCCTCAGTGCAATCTCCCAGTGATGTGGTTAGCACGGGAGGAAATACTTTTTTTAAAAATGCTCTCCTGTGCAAAAATTGGTACTTTGAATCTAGATAAATGGCTAGGCCTGGAAAAATAAGATAGATGAGAACGTGGGGATGTTCAGCTTTGAGAAGAGAATTCAAGAAAGCATATGAACGTGTTCTTCAGAGACTTAGATTGTGATAGAGAAGTTTGATTCCTCCCAAGACACGGGAGGCCTGTTTCAGTATGAGAGGGCAGCGCACTTTCTGTGAGAGCAGTCTGCCATCGAATGCACTGCCTCCTGAGTTCCTCATTGCAGGAGACACTAGGAGAACAGTCATTTAACAGACGTGAGTGAGGATTTAGGCGTAGGTTTGCAGGCTGCACCAACTGACCTCTGAGGCTTCATCTAACATTGAGTGTCTACTTTGGACATACCGTTAACCTCCTCCTTGTGAAACCTCAGCTCCATTACCAGGCATTATCAAATATGCTCATTGTAATTGTTCACCACAGTCTCTTGCCCCTTTGGTAACTGGAGAAAAATCATTAAATTTTTCTTGTAACTTAGCAACATAGTGTCATAGATACAATTAAATAACATCTTTTCTGTTCGCTAATAAACTTTAGGAAGATTATATCAGAAATACTTTTTGAATTCTGATTTTACATGATTTCCTTAATTTTATTGAATAGTGAGCGACTTTCAAAGGATGATTTTCTATGTTAAATAAAAATATTCTAGCCATAATTGACTTAGTCTGTCATAATGATGCTTTTTTAATATATCCGATTATTTGCTGAAGGGTTCATATTTATATCCTAATGTTTATAATCCTTTTGGTAGGTATCTACAGTTTGGACTTAAGCCCTTAGAGTTTTATTCCTTGTCATTTTGCAACTTTTATATTTTAGCTGCAGTATGTAGGTAGTCCTGCAAATAGTTGGCCTTTAATGTATACCTTATTTCTCTGATTCTAAGATGCCCGTGATTGCAACCTGCATCACAGACCTAATAAGTTTGCAAAGAAGAAAAAAAGAAATTGCACATTCTAGTTTTACCATTCATTTGTTTAAATTCCCACTCAGAGTCTGAATGTAAGCCTCTTTTTGACCAGTATGCAGAGCTTCACTGGCACAGTGCTTTTCATTATCTAGAGTAGTGATTTTGACCGCTGAAATCTCTAAGAGTGACTGTATAATTTTGAGGCATGTGAAAGAATATGGAATTTTGTGTCCTTGTCCTTTTTTGTAAAACTCAAGCTGCTTTTTTTCCTTAATTGAGTTGCGTTGTGTATACTACAGGATGAACGGCTTCTCTCGAATTATGGGTGCACCTTTGGACAGAGACATTTAGTGCTGGGTGACAAAGCCCTTCACAGCGTCTGAGTCTGTCACACCAAATTGTCCCGGCTATGAGAAATGCTTTAGATTGACACCACTGGCAGTTTTCTTTGCTTTTAATTGAGTTGACAGACACAACAGGCTAGTCAGTGTTACATCATAGTGCCATCTTTTTGATAAGAGTTTTAAGTAACAAATCCATGATCTAAATTTAAGTTAAAACGCCATCCTTGTTTGGTGCTATATAAACAAAGTCACAGCTAAAACGACAGGTAGATGAACAAATACCTTTCATATGCAGCTAAGGGTACATGTACTCAGGTAAGGACAGCTATGTCAAAATTTACTCCTACACCTAGTGGCTGCTAAGTTACTTTTGACAATTGTAAGAAGTGTCAATTTCAGAAATGTTGAAATTTATAAAACCTGTATCTTAGAATCCAGGAAATATGGTATTTGCTGATTAATTGGCTAATCCTCAAGAAAACCAGTATTGTTTTTGGCAATAGTTCTCTCGAATATACATATTCGGTAATACGATTTTTTCCTGCCAGAGACAGAAAGTATATTTTTCAAAAGTATTTTCCACCTTGTAAAGGTCTTCATCTTACAGAAACACTTGGGAAGAAGGAAGAAGGCTTTAAAAACAAAAGCAAAATTCAGCCTTTAAAGTAAAGGCTAAGGACTTAAAACTTCTACTCAGTTTTTTAGAGACTTAATCGATAATTTGATTAATAGTGTTAAACGGACAGTCTTCCAAATTTTGTAAATGTCTTAGTTAGAAAGATGCTATGTATTAAAGAGCAGTTCTTTTAAAGATTATTTCACGAACGTCAGACTTTTCAGATACGTACTATGAAAGATCTGGATTGTCGTGTACCAGTTTCAGAAATAACATTTGAAAGTGTTATGAAAAATATAAGGTATAAATGTATAGTGGCTGTAATAATTAATAAAAATAGAATTCTCTCTTGCAGAATTATTTTAACTAGGACGTACAAGAAGATCATGAGTATTTTCTTTAATATTTAGACCACTATTGGTATCTTGATCATATCATTGGTATCCTAATCACATAATTATAGAAAATCATATTTTTATACCACTTATCAGCCAGCTCAGTATTATCCAAGGTAAATTTTGACCATCAGTTTATTTCATTCCAACATGTCCTAGCAGCCTGTGCTACTTAATCTATCCTCTGAAGTTGCTAATTCCTTGTCTGTTTTTTGCTGATGTACCCCTATACATTTACTGTCACTTCACATCCACTCCTGTTTGCAGTTCTTGGCCTTAGGAAATTGCATGCAGAATAAGAAGTTGAAGACTGAATTATGAATGCATGGAGATGAGCTCTAAGTGAGCCAGTGTGAAGAGAAAAATAATAGAATGTGTAGCCATAAAACCTAATTGACTTGGGAAATTTTTATAGCTAATAAATTTAGCCTGCCGTTTATTTCTAGCTTTAACTGATGTAACTTCTTTTTAACTCTAGTCATCTCAGCTCAATAATCCCCAGTTTGTATGGGTGGTGCCGGCTTTGCGTCAGCTTCATGAGATCACCCGCTCGTTTATAAAACAGACCTATCAAAAGCAAGACAAGGTAAGAGAAGAGCCCTGTTCAATGACTATACAGTTATATACACAACTGTTGGAATAACAAAACATAAAGATCTTGCTGAGTTTATCGTCACTATTTTACATTTATATGATTAATATCATTCATTTATATTCTCTAATAATCTTGAGTTTAAACATCATTCTACTTTCATTTCGATGGAGCTTTTCTTTTGATCTATCCTGAACTCATGTCCTTTTTATTTCCTTAATTTATTGAAATGATTACGCCAGTTTTTAAAAGTTAGAATGGTATTTTGGAAATGTGTTTGGAAAGATGTAAAGACATTTGATCTCAGGAAGATTAGATTGTTTAAGGACCTGGAGCTTCCTTGGTGGGAGAGACTTGGGAAGAAAGATCCGGAAAAGTACACAAGCAGTGAAATAGTTCTTTGGAAAGTTGCCTTAAAAAAAAAAAAAAAACTCTCTAGAAGAAAAAAATTATCAGAAGTTTATTAATTCCCTTAATTCTAGTTATGTGCACACTAGATGATTTTATTTGCTTTTGTGCAGGGTTGGGATTGAAGAAATCCTTAGATTCGCTGTCCTTCACTCACCTAGGACCATGTGCTAAAACAGAAGCTTGTGTTAAACTGACAGAATCACTGCAGATTCTCATACCATTTTTCTTTTTGTTGTTTTTGCCAAGAGCATTATTCAAGACTTGAAGAAAAATTTTGAAATCGTGAAATTGGTAACAGGAAGTTTGATAGCCTGTCATCGACTTGCAGCCGCTGTGGCTGGACCCGGAGGCTTAACTGGTTCGACACTGGTAGATGGCCGATACACTTACCGGGAGGTATCCGGCATGGCGCTTTTGTGTTGTGATTTACAGCATTCATCTGGCTTTTTGCACTTGAACTATAAAAATAATATTTGTTGGGTGTCACTTGAAAAGAGGCGGCGTGAGGTATCTTTGTAGTGACGGAACAGTTTTGTGTTCTGGCTATAACCATTTTAAAATAAAAGTTGAGAAAATTGTTATTTCTGGGTAAATCTTTCAGTAAATCCCCTAAAAACTCCCTGTGATAAAGTGATAAAGATAACCATCTTTCTTCTGTCTTTCTTCTGAAATAATAATTGTCAGTTCTGTGGAGAATTGTTTCTTAAATCAACTGATTAGTAACATTGTTTTTAAAAATTGGAAAAAATCTTAACTCACCACTTGTGAGTTTGTGGTGTTTTACTTTGAGATTGCTGAAATGATATTTTACTGACATCCAAAGTCAACTGAAATTGGTAATAGACTTGAAGTAGCTTCCAAAACATTGTGCCGTCAGCTTACAAACAGATGTCTCACATTTATTTTACTCTTAATTATATGAGAAAGTGTTAGGTAGAACTCTCTCTTTTTTTTTTTAATTAAAAAAATTTGTTTTTAATTTTGCTTTTAGGTAGGAATGCCTGGAGTTAACTAATTAGCATTACTTCTTTTTGCAGTATTTAGAGGCCCATCTAAAATTTCTAGCATTTTTCTTACAAGAAGCTACTCTGTATCTGGGTTGGAATCGTGCCAAGGAAATCTGGGAGTGTCTTGTGACTGGCCAGGATGTTTGTGAATTAGATAGAGAGGTAAGAAGATGGTAGGGTGGATAAAATAAGGCAGAAGTGGGACTTAAATATTTTACCTTTTCTGTATGTCTCATATTTTTTGTGGGTCTCACATCTTTAATTCTAAACACTTCTCAATTGGCTAAGCATACATTTATACTAACAGGCCAGGAACTGTAAGTGCTGAAAAAATACTTCATATAATATATATCTAGGACCTAAATATATGAGTTCTTTGGTAATTTTTATACCATTCTGGATAAGACCAAATTCAGAGTGAGCACAGCTACAGAATTCTTGGTGTGTCTTATGTTTTTTTCTCCCTCCCATGGAACTAATTTCAAGTTACCAACCAGAAACTTTGAATTCCTGTAATGATATTGCACCCCAGAAACACAAAGAAGAATAAATGCCTAGACAGATTTTTTAAACTATAATTAAGCAGCTGAAAGTAGATTAAGCCAGGAGCAGAACACCTGACTTGGCGTATTTTAACAATGAATTGCTGTCTGCTCATCTCATTTTACAGAACTATAACTGCTTCATAGCATTGTTGAAAGGACCACATACATGCCTTTGCCTAGCACAGTGGCTGGCCATAGCAAGGCTTGTTAATAAGCGTTAGTGGAGAAGCCCAAGTTTAAACTCCATTGAACAGTGTGAGTCTATATTTGCATTATCTGGGGGAGAGGTTGCTAGAACTGCTTTGTTTAGTTCCAGAGTACCAGGCATTTCAGTTTTCAGTGGTATTTTGTCAATAAATATTTTTGAAGATTTAAACATAACTTATCTTCACTCTCCCACTTTGGAATATGTATTTGCCTGAAATGGATTTTAGTTACAGGGTAACATTTGTCTTGATCCACAGATGTGTTTTGAATGGTTTACAAAAGGGCAGCATGATCTCGAGAGTGATGTTCAACAGCAGCTTTTCAAGGAGAAAATTCTTAAATTGGAGTCATATGAAATCACAATGAATGGTAGGAAAACAACTTAAAATCTTTTTTTCTCATTTAGTTAAGAAATTTTATTCTTTCCTTTCCCTCTGAGTCCACTTCTCAGAAGCAACTAATCAGTCTGGAATAGCCTTCTGGACTTTTCTTTACATCTATGTAAAGAAACATATGTTTATATACACAGATAAGTTCCTTTTTATGTGAATGGTATCGTATGATTCATTTTAAATTATATGGTCCGATAGCTCAAACGGTCAAATGGTGGCATGTATCAGTACTTCACTCCATTTTATGGCTGAATAATATTCCATTGTATGAATATACTACATTTTATTTATGCATCCATCAGTTGATGGACATTGGGTTGTTACCACTTTTTGGCTATGATCACTAACACTGCTATAAGCATTTATGTACAAGTTTTTGTGTGGACGTTAGTTTTCATTTCTCTTCAGTGTATATTGAGGAGTCGAATTGTATCCTGGAACTAACATTTGAAGAACTGTCAAAATATTTTGCAAAATGGCTGTACTATTTCATACTCCTCTCAGCAGCATCTGAGGGTTTCAGTTCCTTCCCATCTTCAACAACACTTTTTATTGTCTGTCATCTTTATTCTTGCCATCCTGGTGTGTGTCAGGTGTTATCTTGTGGTTTCGGTGTGCATTTCCCTGATGACTGATGATATTGAACATCTGTGCATGTGTTTATTGACTGCATATAGTCTTTGAAGAAATGTCTATTCAAACCTTTTGCCCATTATGAGTTGGGTTGTCTTTTTATTGTTGAGCTGTATATTCTGCATAGTAGCTCCTCATTGGATATACGATTTGCAAATACTGTGTCGCCTTCAGTGGGTAGTCTTTTCACACTCTCATAGTCCTTTGAAGCACAAAGTTCTTGATTTTGATGAGGTCCAATTTATCTGTTTTTTTTTTCTGGTGTTGTTTGTGCTTTTGGTACTATATCTAACAAACCATAGCCTAATCTGTGGTCTTGAAGATTTATGTCTGTTTGGTCCTAAGAGTTTTACAGTTTTGGCTCTTGGTATACTTGGAGTCTTTTCATTGGTTATCTGTGGTACTTAGAGTGCATGAATTTATCTGACCTTCTATAATTTCAGGTTTTAACTTATTTAAGACTTTTTTTGAAAATGTGAATCTTTGTGATCATCGATTGAAACGACAAGGAGCTCAGTTGGTGAGTACATTATTCTGAAATCTAGGTAATTTGGATAATCTAGTAAAACACGACAAAAAAGGTGTAATTTTGTTAAGGAATGGGCATCTCCTCGACTGCCGTCTTCTGCATTGACGACAGGGCTTCTCTTAGAGCGTAACAGAGGTCCCCCTTCCCAGCACAGCGACACCTCGCCAACTGCCTGTGAGAGCACAGTTGACTCTCCAATCCCTCCGTGCTTCTTGCTGACCTGGGGCAGCCAGCTGCCTCCTGTGGCTAGGTGAATGCAGTGTAGGGATCGTTTCATTGAAGCTTCCAACTCCTCATATCTGGTAATGGACATGTTCCTAAAAAGTAACAACATCTTTAATTCTGAAGATGAATCTTCAGTTCATCGCAGTGGCAGGGATTTGGGGAGAAATTTTTAGGAACAGTCAGTGAAGCCGGAAAATGAGGATCCGTAGAATATATATAGCGTATGTTTATTATATTTACATATGCACCTTAAGAAAGACAGACAAAAAATAACTCTCTTTTCTAAGACCTAACTCTTTTGATTCAAGACCTGGCTTCCTGGATGGTAAGAATTTTTTAAAAATCTCTAAGGCCTAGATCCTGTCACTTGAACTGAGCTTTGGGAAGACCAGATTGAGCCTCAAGGATTATTAACCACTTCCAGCCGGCCTCTCTTGCCTTTTGGAGAAAAGCTCTTGAAGATGGTGCCCACCTCACTCCTATGTGTTTCCGCTTCTGTAGTCTGTCTGGGTAGATTTCCAGCTTGGGTTTAGGAATATCTGGAGAAAACTCTCCATATCCTGGTGGCCATGGACATAGGCCAGTGTTTCTGTGGTTTTTTTTCTTTGTTTTACAGTTCCAAATCAGCACAACAGTGCTCTCGCGTGTAGCTTAGTTTTTGCAGCCTTAATTCATACTAAACATAAAAGGTGTAGACTTGAGTGATATAATAGAAAATAATTGTCTGTAATTTTGTGACCTTGGTGTGCTTTACAATTTTTTTTTCTTTTGAACAGTATGTAGAAAAGCTGGAATTGATAGGAATGGATTTCATTTGGAAAATAGCCATGGAATCACCTGATGAAGAAATTGCTAATGAAGCTATTCAGTTAATCATAAATTATAGTTACATTAACCTAAATCCTAGATTAAAGAAGGTGGGTGCTCGTGCACAGAACAGAAGATTTATATATATATGTTTTTATTGATAAGTTCTCACCCTTGGTGTGCCTGAAAATTGGCTTTTTTATTTTGATATTTTGCTCTTAATAATGATTGCAACTAAATATCGGACTAATTTTAATTTCTTTTATCTCTTGTAGGATTCTGTATCATTACATAAGAAATTTATTGCTGACTGTTACACGAGATTAGAAGTGAGTGGTAAATTTCCTTTGAACCTATTTTTGAATTTCATTTGAACCTGTTTTTGAAATAAATGCTTTGATGTTTTTCCTTTTTTAATTTTATATTGGGATCATGTAAAATATTGATATTTGTGGCTGGATTCTACTGAAGAATTTGTCAACAGTACCTTATTGTCACATAGGGAACAGACATTTGCCTTGGTTCCCCCAGTACAGAAATGTCCTTTATGGGAAAGCTTTCCTTCTCTTTCCACCACCCCTCCTCCCCACTCCACCCACCCCCCATTTTGGGGTATAGAAACTGTCTTCAGAAAACAGGTCTGCTATACATTCCACATTTCTTTTTTCTCTTTCTTTTTTTTTTTTTTAAAGATTTTATTTATCTATTTGACAGAGAGAGATACAGCAAGAGAGGGAACACAAGCAGGGGGAGTGGGAGAGGGAGAAGCAGGCTTCCTGCCGAGCAGGGAGCCCGATGTGGGGCTCGA